GGGCAAGCATTTCATGATTATTTAACTACGAGAGGTTGAAAGCAGATCATATGACAAAAGAAATTATCATTAAAATGGACAATAAATGTACTGAGAAATAACAATTTCTTTGTTTTTGTGCATGCGTGGTGTCGAACCGGATCAGTACTAGATAGGGGTAAAGTAAGTAACCCCTACGGTTCGAAGTATATTCTAGTTTTAAATAACCTACATAGATTTGATAAGCAGTAAAAACCAAATCAAACAATTGCTTACGTATATATGTTTGCGAATATTAAGCTTAGCATAGCGTGTTCCAGGGTAACAAAAGAGTTAAGTACCAAGTAGAACTCAAACTCTTTGCACTGACAATGGTCTCCACTCAGCTCAACTTAATCATATCGACAACTTAAGTGTCTTGTAAGAATCGAACCAACTACGATAATATTTCGAGACGAAATATTCCACTTTTTACTGTATATTCTTCAACTAAAATATATTTTCAAATACTTTTCATACCAGACGAGCCTTCAGTTTGACGAGAAACACTTGTAAAAATTTCAAGAATTTCTTATTCGTATTTTATGAGTAACCTTCCTTCTTAATTTAATGATGGAATAAGTTCCTTAAGAGTTCGACGAGTATAAGCTATCCGTGAAAATTCCTTTATTGCTTCGTGTTGTGGTAGGATCCACCTAATTTGCATAGTGGAGTACCGACCATATAAATATGGTTGGTACCGGGAAGAGAGGGAGGAATCAAGAGATTCACTCTCAGTCGAACTCTCTGCATTTTGCAGTGAGGGACCCGGACGAGGCTTTGCCGAGAGGCAGGGTTTCGTCCGGGGTGGTAGACAGGCCTTGACCCGTCTAGGCGGGTTCAGAAAGGCCATATTTTTGGCCGAGCCACTTTAAACCGGCCTTGTGCCACATTTTATGCTCGTGGGTGGATAGATAAATACAGGAATCAAGAGATTCAACCAGAGACTCTGCCCGACTGCGACTCAGTCAACACATTCTCCAGGAACGGTCTTCCCAAGAATATACAAAAGACTATATGTAAATATTGTGTACACGTTCTTGTTTCAATACATTTTGTTCTAAGTACATTTTGTGTTGCATTATTATTCCATGCATTAATCAAGTTTCAACACTTCGTTAAATATTTGGATTTCATAACTTTAACAAAATTTTGCAATAATAATCATAAGTATCTGTCTATATTTCTGAAATGAGGTATTATGTACACTATTTACATTGTTCGGACTATCATCCTCATCTTTGTTGCTATATTTATCACAACGTTTCGTACGTTGTACGCTCCAGCCTTCTTCAGGTGGTTGGAATGTCGAACTGAACCCTTTGTTTTGCTTGCTGGGGTACACGGTTCTAGTTCCACGTGTCATGTCTAATGAATGTCAGTTATCAGTTATCACCTGTTAAGAACACATGGCACAGTGGATAAAGGCGTTAGTTAGATTCAGTGATAGGACACAAAGAGTTCAATACCTGGTTAAGGCGGTGGAGAACTTGGAGAGGGGAATTAATTAATTTATTTATTTGTTTAGAGAGAACAGGAGCCAGTTCGGGTGATCATTTCTTAATGACTATTACAGGAACACCATCGGGTTCATATGCTTTGTGGGGATCTAGGTTAGAGATGATAGCAGAAACCATGGAAGCGACTCAGTTCTAGGAGGAAAGTTAGACAGGGATATTCAGGGTGAGTCAAGTGTAGATTTTGAGAAGAATTTATGGGCAATGTATTCAACTTTATCAGCGGCGGATGATAACACCTCATATTGAATGAAGAAGGGAGTAATTGAGATATTGCATTTATTTAATGCCCCAGTACAGAGCCACAAGTAATCGAGGTAAAAGGTTATGCATTCTCTTGGCAAATAGGGACTTTGTCCCTTCGTCAAATCCTTTACATTTATTGCGAGCGGCAACGAATAGGCGCCTGCTGTGACAAGAGGTGTCACGCTGGTAAAGCCGGAAATAGTGGTTCCTGTATGCTATGGCCGAGCATGCCAGTGTTATTCATAGGGAGGATTGGGGTTTCACATGGTATTTCTGAAACGGGGTGAAAGCGTCCATGCCGACTTTGATCCAAGAAAAAACCTCAGTAGTGCAATTTTCAATTGGCATTTTCAAGATATCAGTTCAATGGGCTTCACGGAGAAAATCACGGAATGAGTACCAATCATTTCTGGTAACGGAAAGAGGTCTTGTGGATAGGGGCTTCCTGTTTAATAGGGGATTGGAATAAAATATCAATAGATAACACAGAGTGGCCAGAATTATAAAGAGCACAGTCTTACGAAGCTTGGCAAGAGTGACGGGAGAAGGTAAGGAATAAACCGAGAAAAGAAGCATGTTGCTCGGTTTGTTAGGGAGTTGTGTAGGGAAATCCACGATTTGAGTGAGAGATTGGGCAAGGGGAAAAAATTAATGTTTGAACCGGAAATATCAGTCCGTTTAGAATTTTTCAGCCACGTGTCGTGGTGAACATCTTTTTCTTCGGAGACTAAAGTCACCGAAGAAAAAGATGTTAGCAGATGGACTGAGAGAACGTGCCTATTCTATACTGTCAGCAATTATATCTAATATACTGCAGTCCAAGAAGGAGTGGAAGCGATAAAGGAAAAAGAGATAGCTAACAGGGCTTAGTAAGGGAAAACGGAAGCACATGAAGGAGAAGTCTGGGGCCTCGAGAGACAATTCCCTAGCCATCGTAGGATTATCCCGGATGTAAATACCAATGTCATGCATGTGAATGCTGGAATCTTTTCGGCAAAGGGTAAGATAGCCTAGAACCAAGAATTCATTGGTCGTAATGGAAGAATTTAAGTTAGTTTCACGAAGAGCAAAGATATCTGGCGGCCGTTCCTAGAGGAAACTGGACAGTAAATATTAATTTAAACAAGTTTGGTTAACATTTGTCTATATATCTATGATGGGGTATTGTAACTATTTACACTATTTGCATTGTTCGGACTGTTTTCCTCATCTTTATTGTCATATTCATGAGATTTCCAGATATCCAAAAGAGTCATGACATGTGGAACTAGAACAATCTGCCCTAATGGACAAAATAAAGGGCTCGGTTCGAAATTCCAACGTATATCACCCGAAGAAGGTCGGAGTGTACAACGGCCGAAACGTTGTCAAAAATTATAATAAAGACGAAAACAACAGTCCAAACAACGCAAATAGTGTAAAAAAAAAATCGTTAAATAATATGTGTCTATTATTTTTTAAATAATATGTTTTAATTGAGGCATTCATTTCTGCTATTAGAATGGAAAGTATGAAGGAATTGTCTGCACTTTAGATCAGTTTATCTTAAGTTGAATATCTTAAGCATTCAACTGACTTCAGTCATTGTTACGAATCAAAGTCCATTTTGTTAACATCTTGTGGTGATTTTGTATCTAATCTTTAAGCACAATGCGTTTGTTATTTATACTTTTTAATGCATTCGTTGTCATATGAACGTCATATTATTTTTAAATTTAAATGCTTATGAGGTCATGTTAGTGTGACGTTATACTGGTTTTAATAATTTAAATACATTTTAGATTGCATTATAAGTGATTTTGCTCAAATATTGGTTGTTTTAACTGAACATGAACAGATTCTAAGATTTGTAATCTTTTTCTACGGTTTGTATTACTACATTGTATTGTATTATCAGCAAGGATCTTTCTTATTATTTTATTTGTGTTTCTGTATCATGCATTGCATTTTGGACAAAGGGAGTCTCCGAGAAATGTCTGTGGTGGCATAACCTATACAAGTTTTTTCTCCAGCGTTACAATATCAAACAGGGAAAGTGAAGTTGTAAAAAATATTAGTTTTATACAGGGTATTTGATTTTATTCAAAGTTATTATTTCCGGGCCCTTGTGAATGAGGAATTATTCTCCACCCTTCAACCTCTCTCCCATAAGCGAAGATGTGGCGAGCCTTCCACTGCTCTACCGCTGCTTCTATGGAAATTGGTCTCGTCGAGGAAAACCTTCACGGCGAGAACACGCCATGTCACTTATATAGTAACAAACCACTCACATTCTTTCCGTATTCCACCGGTTAGAAGTAAGTTCCACTCGAGCAGCCTCTAACCACTGCTCTGTAGAGACGACTCACAACTGAGTGTTTTCCTGATCATTATAATCTTAACCTGTTCATGGCTAGGGTTAACTTTTATCTTCCATTCCTAGACACACTAATTTCATCCACACGCAAACATCTACCTCGAGTGGCTCCCGGGCCTTGTAAAAGGTGAATCTCGCTGTAAAAAAAATGTATATATGCCTGAATCAACTCAATATCTAGTTATATAGTATTTTGCTTATTTATTATGTTGTGCCCAGAATTTTTACAAGGGATAAACTGAATAAATATTCGGTTGGCATGGATCTGGCATAACTACAAAAAAATATGTGTCTGTATTCGTCTCCTTTTACCAGCGGTAGGTATGTTACAATTTGTCAATGGATGGATAAAAACGTGGATAGTACCGAATTCTATTTATATTTCAAGATCAGCAGTGACAGTTACTTAATGTGTCCATTTGTTGCGTGCTTGGCGGATTTTTTGCTTCAGGATCGCCTGACGGGATAGTACTGTTTCGGTAGAGTCTCTTGGGCGAACAAGTAGGATGTTACAAGACCCGAAACTTGTCATGACCCCAAGTCATAACATCACTGAAGAGGCGATCCTCCGCATTCGTTGCAGTGTTTTCATAACAAATATTATACTATAAATACCCATAATAAAGTCTAATCTACAAATTACACAGAATTTGAGATTAACAAGAATAAACAACAAGATGACAACTATAATATATATATATATACTTTAATAAAACGTATATTACTGATAGTAAATTCTTTCTCTTTGAAAATCTTATCAACCTCAGCATATGATTTGTCAGTCCTTCGTAAGTGGAAAATATTTCAAATTTTCACCTTTCAGGCTTCTCTTTGGCATTTCCAAATTCCCATCATTTGGCAGCATGATTCTGTTGATATATTTTCTATCTCTTCATATCTATCTATCTATCTATCTATCTATCTATCTATCTGAGTCTATTCATATATTTTCTTTTTATCTATCTATCTATCTATCTATCTATCTATCTATCTATCTATCTATCTATCTATCTGAGTCTGTTCATATATTTTCTGTCTCTTCATATCTATCTATCTATCTATCTATCTATCTATCTTAGTCTGTTCATATATTTTCTATCTCTTCATATCTATCTATCTATCTATCGCAGTCTGTTCATATCTATCTATCTATATCTATCTATCTATCTATCTATCTATCTATCTATCTATCTATCTCAGTCTGTTCATATCTATCTATCTATCTATCTATCTATCTATCTATCTATCTATCTATCTATCTATCTATCTGTACCGGTATTTCGCGCTATGTTCGTCCTCAAAAAGTGCTAGACGGTCTGTTGGGTTTGCATGCAAGGCAAGGCAACGGCGCTTTTTCTTCTTATGTGGTTTCACTCATTCCCTAATAATCCGTTCCATAAAATGCTCTTTACGCGCGGTATTCCCTCCCATGCACACGTACCAACCGACGTGCGCTGATGCGGCTGCCACGTGCGCGTCGCCATTGTGTGCGTGATTGCTTGCCTCCATATATCCGTTCCGTGCTGACAGCTAATGTTTGTGGCCAATCTCAACGATGTGTCCCATCAAATTCGCATCAAAATGTAATGAAGACAGTGTTTTCTCATCAAGAGGGTGCCTATCCGCCATTGCTTTTCGTGCTCCCCTGGGGCTCTCCATGCTCGTATCGACAGGCTGAGAGGTTGTAAAACTGAATAAACCTAATCCACCTAGTACTTAGGACTGGATTTTTTTTCAGCCTGTTTTGCCGATTGTCGAGTTGCCGGGGATGTTTTTTTTTTTTTTTTTTTTTATTATTATTATTTGTGGGGTGAGAAGGAAGGACGGAAAGAAATGATAAGCGGGTTTAGAAGCTAAGAAAAATGTGAAAAAAAAATGTATAATAAGCTATGGTGGTAAAATTGGGCTGAAAGAGGAAGGAAGGGAGAGGGAGAGAGAGAGAGAGAAAGAAAGAGTGAGAGAGAAAGAGGGAGAGAGGAGAGGGAGAGAGAGAAAGAGTGAGAGAGAAAGAGGGAGAGAGGAGAGGGAGAGAGACAAAGTGGGTTAAATAAGAAGAAAAGTGTAGGAGTCAGGAAGGATAAAAATAACAACAGTGAAGAGTGAAATGGAATATATATATATATATATATATATATATATATATATATATATATATATATATATATATTCCTCATTTTCTCAGATATTAATGGCGAAAATAAAACATACATAGGTTGTACGGAAGGTATTTTTAGTCGTAGACGGTACAATCATAGGTGGTCTTTTAAGCTAGCAAATCTTAGGTATTCTACCAAACTAGCTAACCATTTATGGAATTTAAAAGTAAAAAAAAACAACAGGTATCCTTTGATAAGGTGGAAAATTTAAAAAAAAATCGAAACCATACAACCATATCTGCAACCCCTGTCAGCAGGAAAAATTAGTAATTATGGCATTTACGGATAAAAAAAAAACAAACTTTTAAACCAGAAATCAGAAATATTAAGCCCTTGCTTACATATCAGAAAATTTTTCTTAAGTGCATATGCGGTTGGGTAAAAAAAAAAAAATAATTTAACCCCACTCCGATGCATTTACACTTCTTCTTCTTCTTCTTCTTCTTCTTCTTCTTCTTCTTCTTCTTCTTCTCTGCCTCCATTTCCATTACACTCAACGTCGTGCGTTTGTTTGTTCATCTTTGAAAATAATAATGTAGCGTTCTTTAATTTAACAAAAAAAAAAAAAAAATCGCCTGAGGATAACGTAAGGTTGAAACCAAGGTACCGAATTCAGCTGACCTCCTGATTATTAATATATATATATATATATATATATATATATATATATATATATATATATATATATATGAACAAAATAGACGTCATTTTTTGTATCTTTCGACCAACACTTTTTCAAAAGGTATTCGTTGGCGATATGCAAACACAATCAAGACATATTAATAATCTACAAGAAATCACAGGTGGTTGAAGATTATTAATATGTCTTGATTGTGATTGTATATCGCTAACGAATTCCTTTTGAAAAAAACATTGGTCGAAAGGATCCTAAAGGCACAAAAAACCCCCAAAAAAAACCCGTTTATTTTGTTCAAATGTATGCTTTATTTCTGTGGATACTAGTCCTTGTTTTATATATATATATATATATATATATATATATATATGATCTTGTTAAAGATTTAAGGTGGAATAGTGCCAATATCGGAGATACAACGTTAATTTTATCCCCCCACACACACATACAAAACACACACACACACACACACACACACACACACATATATATATATATATATAATGACTAGATAATAGATTTAGGCCACATCTATCTATCTAGCTATCTAACCCCTCTTACAGACATATGTTTAGACACATTTTTTCGGAACCCACAGAGCTAACCTGTGGTTTATACTGCAATTAAATTGGACAAATCTTATTTAAAGTTTTCAGACATTACCAGGCGTGATAAACAGTTTGAACAAGGTCAGTCTGCTCAAATCATCAGTTACAATGACTTGTGAATTCGTGCTAACCTAACCACTGAAGCCTTCCGAACACTTTCGTCTATCTAATTTCTCTCACAAGGCTTGGATCAACACCCGATATGGTTTTTTTTCAAACACTCCTTAATGGTGTTGCACGCTGGGATAGTCACCCCCGCATGAGATTCGAATAGCTACCTAGATATATAGATAGAAAATGTTTATTTTCGTAGCAATTTTTCATTTAAACAGATTTTATTTAATATCACAGAAAGTTTTTTTTTAATACTGTTCTTTGTAATTTTGTTGTATTTTAAATAATACATGCTCGGTTCCATTTTTGGTAAAAAAATTTCTGATGTGCATATTTCTGTGAGAGCAACAATTATTGGTCATTTTCAGGAACAGAAAGTAGATTTTATAGTTTCAAAAGGAAAGAAATTGTTTTCGTTTTCAACACGACCTTTGGTGTTTAAGACGTATGACATATATACATATATATTAAAATCATGTTTTGACTCTATTGATAACATTGGGAACAAGTCGCTAACAACATATGCAAAGCCATTTGCAGTATGAAGAAGACGGCTTCTGTATTTTTAATTAGTGAATATATTTGAATTATTGAAATATACATATATATTGGATATAATTATAGGTTGAACATTATTTTATTTAATGTAGGTTTTTGGTACTGATAACTTCAAAGTAGGTTTTTAGTATTGATTATTATGGCTTAAACATTCGACGAAACGATTAGATGTCTCTATTTTCCTTTTTATTTAAAGCCATTTTCTCACTTGTACCTTGATCTTTCTGCAGTGCCCGCACTATTATTCTGATTGTTGGCCTTCAGTCAGCACGTTTCGACTAGAAACAGCGGGAGGATGACCTATCGATTGCCATTAACGGATATGGCAACAAACACTCTTCTGGCAATATCAACCTAAATTAATAAGACCTTCGGGTAAAAACACTGGGAAGAAAGATATTCACTTATGGTCATTTCATTCTTTTTGCTTATTTCCGTCCCTTCCTTTCTGGTGGCGTCTTAGTGTCAACCCAAATCGTTTCCTCTGGTAATGACACAATCCGTTACTCAGATGCACTGAGGCAGATAGCACTTTCTTAACTATTCCATTTATACAAAATCAGCAGGCTTCCTTCATTTCTGACAGGACTTCTTTTAAGCAACCTATCTATCTATCTATCTATCTATCTATCTATCTATCTATCTATCTATCTATCTATCTATCTCTTGGGCGTATTTGTGCAGTAGTTTTTCATTTACTCAGGTTTAGTATTTTATATATAATTTTAATATTATTCGGATAATTTTTCTGTATTCTGTGGATAATTTTAACATAAAGAAACGATCCAATGCCTTCTAAGTGCTTTCGATTTTCATAAGGAATTAACAAAGAAACTTATTTTTGCATTGATAGGATTGTATCTATGTGTACGCATTGTGTTTTCTTTTACTGACGTGTTTTTATATGTCATTTTTCTCAAGTTGAATAATGTCACTTTAATAATAGTAATTCAAACAACACATACACTGGCTACATAATCCATACATTATCGCGCCGGTTAACTTAATATTTTTTTTTTATAATAGTTTAAGTCAGCACAAGAATGCAAGAAAACCAACAAATACATATCAGTAAGTCAAAACGCTACCAAATAAACTGTAGAAAAAATTTAATTACTAGAAACATTCACTATACAAAATAAACAACCCAACATAAAATTTTATTCACTGTATGAATAAAAATCGTTAACATACCCCAAAAAACGATTCGGCAGCCGCAAAATGAAGCGTGATACTTCAAAAACCGCGTGAAAAGTCTATAAACAGAAAACAATGCATACATATAGGTATAACCCTATCAACACAATAATAATCTTTTATTTAAAAGCATATGAAAGCTAAAAGCATTCAGAAATATTGAATAATTTATGGGCAAATTTTCCCCCGAAACCAGAAAGATTTGTCCGAATCATAGAATAAACAAATAACCTACTATCTATCTATCTATCTATCTATCTCAGTCTGTTCATATCTCTCTCTCTCTCTATATATATATATATATATATATATATATATGTATTCTCGACTCTTCCGTCGAATTCGACGTATGAGGGTCAAGCAGATCAGGTCCGAGGAAACCAACAGACCGAAAAGAGCACATCAGATTTGATTATAGTGGTAAAGGTTTCGTGCAGAACCATCCACACTTTTTGAAGGGCCGAATACAGAGACTTGGTGCACTACGTGCCACAAGGTCCCTAAACGACCCTCCGCAGGTTTTGAATTCAGAGATGTGTTTCTCCTAGACCAGTTGCCATCCAAGGCTATAGAACCCAGTCTACCCTGCTATTTACTCATAGCTGGAGGAAGAAGAGGAGGACTGGAATTGATTCCTCAATCCAAGCCGCTACCCACCGTGCTTATATATATATATATATATATATATATATATATATATATATATATATATATAATGGACTTGCCAGTCGTCTTCGACGAATGAGGATTCAGCAGCTCAGTCCTTAGAGCCGAGCAACCTGAGTACATGCACATATGATTTGATTAGAGGGGTGAAGGCTTCTGCAGAACCAACCAGAATTTTCGGAAGCAACAAAATCAGGGAACTGTGCATATAGTGTGTCCAAATGTTTTTCAAAACAACATTTATCAGGTTCAGAGTTAACCTTTTCCTAGACTGATTGCTAAATAGCCCCAAATAGCCCCGTCTTTCCTTCTGTTTAAGTCAATGTAAGGAACTGAACTGGAATTCTAAATTTGCTCCAGATTTTTCATTCGGAGCCGTTATTACTCATATATATATATATATATATATATATATATATATATATATATATATACACACACACACACACACACACACACACATATATATATATTGTTATGGTCCGGTTCCTTATACCACAGTGATAGTCCAATGGAGAACCAATAAAGAACTCGAACACTGGTATGGAATAACACAGATATATTACAAACAGGAATATATACATAGAAGTAGAAGTGTTAGTATGAACAATCAGGTTTAGTAGAGAGAACAATGTAGTCTCGACCAGTATCACTATTCCAATGTCTTGCAGTAATTGTCTGAACGCGACTCTGTTTCGGACTGCCTCTGACTCGACTCTTGACTCGACTTGAACTACTGACTGACGATATTCAGTCACCCCCCCCACGAGGGTGTCATGTGGCACAAGGCCTTTTTAACGTGGGATTTCCGAGCCATTAGGCTCGGCCAAAAATATGCCCATTGAACCCGTATAAACGGGTTCAGGGCCGGTTTTACCTCCCCGAAGGAGTCTCCGCCCTTCGGCGGAGCCTCCTTCGGGTTCCTCCCGCCCGTAGGAAGAGAGTACAACTGAACTGTCGGTTCAAAAGTGAACGACTGACTGACAATATTCAGTCTCCCTCCCACTGGGGCAACATGTGACACAAGGTCGGTTGTTTATTGTGGGTATTCTCGAGCCCGTGGGCTCGGCCCCAAAATATGCCCGTTTGAACCCGTATAAACGGGTTCAAAGCCGGTTTTACCTCCCCGAAGGAGACTCAGCCCTTCGGCGTAGCCTCCTTCGGCGTAGCCTCCTTCGGGTTCCTCTCCGTCCGTAGACAGAGAGTTGAACCGAACAGTCTGTAGTGAACGACTGACTGACGATATTCAGTCACCCCCACGAGGGTGTCATGTGGCACAAGGCCTTTTTAACGTGGGCATTCCGGGAGCCATTAGGCTCGGCCAAAAATCAGCCCATTTGAACCCGTATAAACGGGTTCTGGGCCGGTTTTACTCCCCGAAGGAGACTCCGCCCTTCGGCGTAGCTTCCTTCGGGTTCCTCCCGCCCGTAGGAAGAGAGTTTAACCGAACAGTCGGTTCAGAGTTGAACGACTGACTGACGATATTCAGTCACCCCCCCACGAGGGTGTCATGTGGCACAAGGCCTTTTTAACGTGGGCATTCCCGAGCCATTAGGCTCGGCCAAAAAATAGCCCATTTGAACCCGTATAAACGGGTTCTGGGCCGGTTTTACCTCCCCGAAGGAGACTCCGCCCTTCGGCGTAGCCTCCTTCGGGTTCCTCCCGCCCGTAGGAAGAGAGTTGAACCGAACAGTCAGTTCAGAGTTGAACGACTGACTGACGATATTCAGTCACCCCCCACGAGGGTGTCATGTGGCACAAGGCCTTTTTAATGTGGGCATTCCCGAGCCATCAGGCTCGGCCAAAAAATAGCCCATTTGAACCCGTATGAACGGGTCCAGGGCCGGTTTTACCTCCCCGAAGGAGACTCCGCCCTTCGGCGTAGCCTCCTTCGGGTTCCTCCTGCCCGTAGGAAGAGAGTTGAACCGAACAGTCAGTTCAGAGTTGAACGACTGACTGACAATATTCAGTCACCCCCCCCACGAGGGTGTCATGTGGCACAAGGCCTTTTTAACGTGGGCATTCCCGAGCCATTAGGCCCGGCAAAAAAATAGCCCATTTGAACCCGTATAAACGGATTCAGGGCCGGTTTTTACCCCCCGAAGGAGACTCCGCCCTTCGGCGTAGCCTCCTTCGGGTTCCTCTCGCCCGTAGGAAGAGAGTTGAACCGAACAGTCAGTTCAGAGGTGAACGACTGACTGACAATATTCAGTCACCCCCCACGAGGGTGTCATGTGGCACAAGGCCTTTTTAACGTGGGCATTCCCGAGCCATTAGGCCCGGCCAAAAAATAGCCCATTTGAACCCGTATAAACGGATTCAGGGCCGAGTTTAACCTCCCGAAGGAGACTCCGCCCTTCGGCGTAGCCTCCTTCGGGTTCCTCCTGCCCGTAGGAAGAGAGTTGAACCGAACAGTCAGTTCAGAGTTGAACGACTGACTGACAATATTCAGTCACCCCCCACGAGGGTGTCATGTGGCACAAGGCCTTTTTAACGTGGGCATTCCCGAGCCATTAGGCCCGGCCAAAAAATAGCCCATTTGAACCCGTATAAACGGATTCAGGGCCGGTTTTACCTCCCGAAGGAGACTCCGCCCTTCGGCGTAGCCTCCTTCGGGTTTCTCCTGCCCGTAGGAAGAGAGTTGAACCGAACAGTCAGTTCAGAGGTGAACGACTGACTGACAATATTCAGTCACCCCCCACGAGGGTGTCATGTAGCACAAGGCCTTTTTAACGTGGGAATTCCCGAGCCATTAGGCTCGGCCAAAAAAACACCCATTTGAACCCGCATAAACGGGTTCTGGGCCGAGTTTAACCTCCCCGAAGGAGACTCCGCCCTTCGGCGTAGCCTCCTTCGGGTTCCTCTCGCCCGTAGGAAGAGAGTTGAACCGAACAGTCAGTTCAGAGGTGAACGACTGACTGACAATATTCAGTCACCCCCCACGAGGGTGTCATGTGGCACAAGGCCTTTTTAACGTGGGCATTCCTGGAGCCATTAGGCCCGGCAAAAATAGCCCGTTTGAACCCGTATAAACGGGTTCAGGGCCGGTTTTACCTCCCGAAGGAGACTCCGCCCTTCGGCGTAGCCTCTTTCGGGTTCCTCTCGCCCGTAGGAAGAGAGTTGAACCGAACAGTCAGTTCAGAGGTGAACGACTGACTGACAATATTCAGTCACCCCCACGAGGGTGTCATGTGGCACAAGGCCTTTTTAACGTGGGTATTCCCGAGCCATTAGGCTCGGCAAAAAAATAGCCCATTTGAACCCGTATGAACGGGTTCAGGGCCGAGATTTAACCTCCCGAAGGAGACTCCGCCCTTCGGCGTAGCCTCCTTCGGGTTCCTCTCGCCCGTAGGAAGAGAGTTGAACCGTGCAGTCAGTTCAGAGGTGAACGACTGACTGACCCCTTGCCTACTCCTGAGTCGCAGTATTTATTAAGTATGGAATAGTCCATTATTATTATTATTATTATTATGGGTAAGATCCCATAACATATATATTGTGATGCTCTCATGTTTTATTGTCTATTTTACTTAAACTTTCCATTATTTTTCAATAATCTTTTTGGGCTAGAAGTTTTTTCGAACAAGTTCACTGTCCTTTGGGAACTCTATCACCAGATTTATTCAGCAAATGACCGCTTGGCTCAGCTGATGCTGCCTTTCTACCAAAGTTTCTGTAGGAAAGGTTGAAAGCCTTTAGTAGCAGGATCCTTTCTCGACATATCTCTTATATCGTTGGGTATAGCGCTGTGAGTGGGATAAGAGACGGGCATAAAAACCGTCTAAGAAACTTGTTTCAGAAATGAATGAGTTTTGTCTGGATGTCTTTTTTGTGCGTCTCAGCGAATCTAAACTAAAATTATTGTCTCAATATCTGGCGTAAGAAAACGATCACCAAAAATATAATCTACACTGAGATTAAAATTTGCAGACGTAGTAGAAAACAACCATAAAGAGTGAAAGGATAATTTCTATGCGGTTACCGTTACACTGATAAAAAAAATTACAATTTATATCCTGCGAATACAGATTAATTAAAGACTCTGCAATAGGTCATAGTCTGTCAAATCAAAAATAGCATCTCATTTGCAAAATCTACGCTAAGCAAGATCAAGAGACTCGGCGATAACTGAAATTGTATGACAGTACCTCTAAATCAATACAACCAGACTTCTTTTTCGCCTTTATTATGAGCCACACAATAATGAAATGTCTATCACTACATTTACTAATCTATAAACCCTCATTTACATTGACTATGTATAAGACTTCCCTCTATCAGCCATTACTTTTCTCCGAATATTTCAAATAATAAAACTGTATGGTATGAAAAAATATATCCACAGGCATCAACTGACACATCTAAAGACATTGTGAATTTTTTCACTGTCATTTGAAGTTTATTAGCAAAATTAATTATGACTAATTACTAATCTCTATCTATAAAAGGCAGGATGTGTGTGTGTGTGTGCAACGAAAGCACAGCCGCAATTGTGGACGGATTTGCACTAAAATTTACATGCATATGCTTCAAGTTAGCGGGAAGGCCAAGACCGACTTTGCATTTCCCAACTCACATCGATAGTGGAAATAATTG